GGCGATTTTTCAGCAGGCAGGCCATAAATGGGAAAAATATGATAGATGTAACCTACTTCCATCAGTTTTTAGGAGTTTGGAAATATCCAAAATGTATCAACTGTCAACAACGGCATTCACAGATAAACATTAAAAAGAAGAGGATGTTGAGCGAAAAAAGACCCAAAAAGAATGCAAGAGTGAACATTGCTTTGCGTCTGTTTTGTAGGTAAACGCATTTCTCGCATTATGTGAAAAAAGCAACATGTAACGTCTGGCAGAAGTCCTAGAAAGGCTAACATCACTTAACAGGACATTAAGTTAATTTTTTAATCTGTGTAAGAAAATGAACAGATTGTCTTAAAGTAGGTACTAAATGAAATGGACATGGTAACTAAACAGATTAGATATGATTCTAGGGTTAAGATGTTCCTTTGATAGGGCCTTAAGAGAATATATCATTATGTTGGACCCCTAGCCAAGAAGATTTTGGCAGCTTGTTTCTTGGAACGTCACTTCTTTGACGTCACTTCTTCTTAATTATTTTTGACTGACAGTTTTCACTTGCTAACATATGGCAGAAGAAACATTTAAGTTTGGAAGCTAGGAAAGATTGCCTTAAAGCTCTGCCCAAATAAAGGATATTTCATATGGGTTTAAATCTTAGTTTAAAACACAATCTATGGGTTGAAATTTATGTCTTGATGAATGACGACTAGTCTGTTGTAAAATTTAATTAAATACAATGACTATAAAGCTTGCAGAGCTATTTTGTACTCATACATAGGACCAGGGAACGTTTAATCTCTGATCTTATATCAACACCATCACTTTTGCAGCTGCCTAATGGTAATAGCAGTGCAGTGTAAAATTACACATACTTCAATGTACTTTTCACTTATACCAATAGATTCAACACAAACATTTACCAACACACATCTTGATAGAGTTTAAGTATTAATGCAACACCATAGCAGCTGTTACATTCGATAAAAGCATATATGATTGCAGTACATCTTACTATAGTGTTTTGTAGCATATTTATAATATCATACTGTGATATGTAATTTGGTTTCCACTTACATTTAATTAAGCGGGTCGGCAAGTCCCTCCAATTGAGGTTTTCCCTTTTCTCTTCCTTTAGCTGTAAAACACAGTCTGTATCAAGGATATTTAGCCATAAATCTGCGATCAGCCTCAGACATGGTGTCTTGTGTGCATAGTATACACTGTGTAAGTGGCACACGGTCAAAAAAGCAAGGAGAGAGGGAGAGAGAGAGAGAGAGAGAGAGAGTCTGTGGGATGTGGGAATGGGTCAGCAAAGTCAGAGACGAGTCAAGTGTAAATGTGTGGTGGGGGTGGAGGGATGTGGGGGGGATAAGAGAAGCGCATGGAGTGGGAAGTGGGTTAAACATATTATTGTAGAGGGTGTGGAATTTCAGTGCCATGTGTTCCCCTTTCCTGTGTATATGTATGTGTTTGTGAGGAGAGTAAGGGGGAATTCATGATTGTAAAAACCAACAAAATCTTAGTGCAAAGAAATTCCCTATCTACTTACTATAAAACAGATTTAAAAACATGTCAGTAAAAAAAAAAAATCCCATAAATAATAATTTTTTTTTTGATTAATCAAATAGCATGAGGATGGTTGGGGAGGAATTACTGACCAGTTAGGAGAGTCAATACACATATTTAAAGCAACTGCATGTAGTTTTGTGTATTTTTCGATTTTGGAGCCCCCTACAGTTGGTTAAGGCAAAAAGGTATACAGCTGCGGTTACTGGGTATGCGCACACGCATCTGTCACACTGTACAACAATAATTACTGACTTTGCATTATTGTAAGGGGTAGGTTTAGGGTTGGGTATAGGTGTAGACGTTAATAAAACACGATCTAATAGGCATAAAATTTAATTTATTATTACGTTCCCTACAGTTAAGTCAAATTCATTGTCGTAAATGTATCACTGTCGTAATTACAGTGAATAGCCTTACAAGTGTCATTGCCATAAAGCAATCCGCCCTTTTTGCAGAATTCATACCCGCTCACCAAAGTCACTCCCAAAACACATTATTATAAGTCAGTGTATTCAGGCATTAATTGAAATGTTTGGAAACAATATTGTCTTGTCACTCATATTATTTATAGCCTTCAGCTGTGATTGAACCATCAGTGAGAAACCACCTCATGGACTAAGTCTTTAAGACTTAAATGTGCACTATTTTTGCAACAGTGCTGTTTCAATAATGCTGTTCAAGGTAGAGGTCAAATGTAGGCAATATGGCGCATCCACATCTGTAGATAAATAACAATTTATCTAGTGCCTTTGAGAATGGCAAATCTAGTGGGACAGACCACCAGACAGAAGAACCAGGTCAAATTCTGTTCTACTTGGCTTATTTGTGACAGTTCAACAGGTGATGATCTCTTCTCACTCTGTGTCCCTGTAGTTAAAGCTATAAAGATTCCTTTATTGTGTTGGAATATAGGTTAGCTATGCTATGGGCTGGCACTTGTGTTGTATATGATGGATTGTGTTCTCATTGAAAATAGCAGGATCAAAGCCAAACTGCAGCTGCTCTCGTCTTTTCATGAACTTGTATGAGCATGTAATACATTTAAAAGGGTTCTAACATTTTATGGTCACATAACAGAAAGTCAGCTTTTAAAATGTTTAATGTATAATAATTATAATTATTATTACAATGATTATTGTTGCTATTTAATAACAATTTATTAATGTTGTAGTTGTTGTTTTATATTTATTTACACATTCTTTATGCTTGCAACATCACTTCTTTGGTTGTTCTGGGAATGAGGTCAAGGAAAGTGCATGCGTCTGAGTGTATCTCTGTGTTTCTGTGTTGGTGGGGTAAGTGTTTCAGTACATTTGCAGATGTTTGGTACACTCAGGAAGCGGTGTGTGTGCCTGCCTGTCTGTCAGCCACAGAGCAAAGTTACACACAGTATTTTCATAGCCAACCATTCCCCCCTTCTTTCAGGGAGCCACGTTATACTCTTAAGTCCCTCCTGACTACTTCTCTGTCTTCTTACGTACACATACTCACACATTTAGTTAGGTATCTAAATGAGGGCATACCATAGCTTTACATTGCTTTATATTAAGCTAATTTTTCCACATTGATCGTTTTCCAAACCCTAACTCTTACAGAAATCATTTGCATTTTGCATTATTAGTCAAAAACAGTATTTGCTTTATGAATTAATTTACCAGTTGCGGATGTCACCATATGTCTCCAAAGGGAGGTTGTCAGATTTAGCTAACTTCTGGGGACATACTAGAGCTAATTAACCCCAAACACACACACTGGTGAAAGTATGCATGCAGTGTGAGGTGTGGAAACAGCAAACCATGGTGCTGACACGAAGAGTTTTATTTAAACCTCAATCTGACGTGTAAGTGCTGCTGTCTGTGTGTAATTCAAGAGCAGCAATGGTATGTGTTCGAATGTGTCTGTCTGTGAGAGATTGTCTGTGTGTACAAAACATATCTACACAGTAACCTGCTCATAGAACCAAGAACTGCTATTCCACATGTTATGGACATATTGTATTATTAAATATGTGCTTATGCAATAAACTTAAGTAAAAACTTTAGTTAAAAAAAAGTGCTTATGACAGTAAATTGAAAATAAAGGCCTTAGATAAAGATCCGAGTCCTATCAAAACCTGAATTAATTAATAATAATTAATTCCCTTACAAATGTAAGTAGTCAAGTTATCTACACCTGCATGCTACAAATCATGAGTAATTCTGCTATCTAGTGGCTCACAAATGTCATTGTGCAGGGGCCTTTAAACATTGCTCCAAAATTTTGACCCCTGTGCTTCTAAAAAAGTTATTATTGCATAACCCTGTTGTGTCGATGTTCAGATTTCTGAAAATGGTGCATTGCCGTGCCTCTCCAGGTTCAGGCCAAATGCTGTTGCTTTAACTGAACACAGACTTGCTTGTTAAAATAAGAGGAATGGAGAGTGAGATTTGAGAGTTGACAGAGGTTTCATTTCAGGTTAGACTAACCCTATTTTTTTTTCAGGAAAGCACTGGAAGAAGAGGGGAGCGGAATCGACAAAGGACCTCGTAACAGGAATTGAACTTGGGTCACTGTGAGTGCAGTTGCGAAATGTAGGCTAAATATGCTATTCAGCAGGGACACCTCAATTGATCAAAAGTGACAGTAAAGCCATTTATAATAATGATGCAAGAGATTTCTATTTCAAATAAAATCTTGTTCTTTAAACTTTCTTTTCAACAAAGTTTCCTGAGAAAATATTACACAAAATATTAAGCAGCATAACGGTTTTCAACATTGATAATAATAAGAAATGGTGTGTGTGTGTGTGTGTGTGTGTAAGAGCAACTTTAAGTTAACAGAACAATGTCCAAGCTTCAGCTAATTGCTCAATCTGTACTTAATGTGTAATTACTGACATTGATAGTGAGGTAGCTGATTTTTTCATTCATAATTCTTTATCATGCCAATTGATTCGCGTTATCTCTTAAGGTAGCAACTTCAGGTAACCTGACGAAATCAATGCTCTATATCAGGGGTGGTGAAAGTCGGTCCCGGAGAGCCGTAGCCCTGCAGAGTTTTGCTTCAACCCTAATCAAACACACCTGAACAAGCTAATCAAGGTCTGAAGGGTTACTAGGAGGCTACAGGCAGGTGAGTTTTTATTAGGGCTTTGGCTCTCCAGGACTGGAGTTCGCCAACCCTTGCTCTATATGCTTAATATATCAATCAAGAACAAACAAACCCTTTTTTACAGGAGTGAAGCAGCATTTCGGACAAATACTTCCTCCACAAACACAGCCCCTATTGTGAAAGGCCGTTGACAAGGTTTTATTGCACAGAACCTCTGATCCAACAGTGTGACTCACCCTTTATGCACAAATTCCAACTGATTAGTCCAGAGCTGTCACATTCATTGAATGCATCTGCCTTGTGTTGCTGACAAAACAAAGTGTATTTCCTATTGTCCACTCTCTCTCTCTCTCTCTGCCTCTCCATAGAATGCACACTCAAACATTCCAACAAATGTTTCACTCGATTTTGAACTTGGCTGGTTAAAAAGTTGCACATTTATGCAGTAAAATAAGGGAAGCACATGAAAAGGTAATAAAAGGGTGGGGGAGTGTGAGACTGACTCACCTGTGATATGTCTAACTTATGCAGTTTGCCTGTCTAGCTTGTTCTGCGCTTTATGGGCGTTGCTGGTCCATTTATATCGCATGACTCCAGGGTGGGTTTCTCTTTCACACAGATGTTCTTTTGGGACAAGCATCTTTTATAAAAGGTAGGTAATACTTAATCTGTACACATACAGTTCTCAAAAACAGGTGCTCGGAACTGGAGTGTCGTTTCCAATTGGAATAACTAATGTACGTGCAACTTCCGTGTTTCTCTCTCAGTTGTTCTCTGACGTGTAATCAAACCTCTGCGCGCAAGGGAAATATTTACGGTGATATGCATATTATTACATATGTTTAAACAAAAGGACATTATATTATCAGAATGTACAGCATTCTAAAGATATTTTGTATACTAACGCGGGACATTAATAAACCAAATTGTTTATACTCTAGATCTGCTCAGTACTCTTTGCTGCTTTTTGTGAAAATATTGCGCTAGGCTATGGATTTTAGCGATGGTTGCATAAATTATGGGGTTCTTTTTTTCGTAGTGTAATCAGTCATGGAGAGTCTCTCTCGTGCTAACAGTCTCTTCGCTCTGGATCTCTATCGGACTCTGAGCGAGAGCAACACTGAGGGAAACATGTTCTTTTCCCCACTGAGCATCAGCGCAGCGCTCAGCATGGTCTACTTGGGAGCCCGAGGAGACACTGCCAAAGAAATGGAAAAGGTATGAGGTATCAGCATCTGGAGCAGTGTTCGAACTATACTGTGTATTTTTTCTACGAATCTTTGAGTTAACGTGTACTAAACATGAGTTGAATTTGCACCGCTGCGCCCCCACACCTTGATGCTCATGACAAGAACAGCATGTATAGTGATCTTTATTGAAGTGAATTAGGTTTAAATCGCCGTCATGTATGAATGAATGATATTTTTGCAGTTTTACACATGATAATCCACGATGATCACATTACACCAAACTGAAATTGCACGTCAAAATAACACATTGTCAATATTTTTTGAGACCCCCCAAAATTGAATAAATCACGTTTTCAGGGGAGCCCATGTCTTATTAAGGGGAGCCAAGCTCCCCTGTAGTTCGCACCCTGATCTGGAGAACAAGCAAAGGTCTGTGTGGGAGTTTTTTTTGTTTTTTTTTTTGTCAGTTGTGAATCTACAAATAGGTTACATTCTGCACACTTACAGTAATCCGTGATTGGGAAATACAGCTAGAAAACAAAACCATAACCCAAAACAAGGAAGAAAAAAACAAACCTGTTTGACAGTAAAAAAAAAATGGGGTGAGGCCCAGAAGTCAAAGGGGTAAATATTTGCTCGTAGTATGAGCTTAACACAGAGTTGCATTTATCACAGCCAAACAATAGCACACAGTTATGAGTTTTTACCTGGCAAGTTTATTTAAGCAAGATTTAGTGAAAAAATTTAATTCTTTGAGAGTTTAGGTGAGAATGCTTGTGTTAATTAATTAGGCCTAAATACATTTTAGGGTTGAGAAAATATAGATGTATAGATTGTCTTGAAATGATGACTCTTTTCTGTTGGGTAACTGTGAAAGTTTGAGTTGACATTATCATTCAGTGAATTCTTCCTGTCATTTCAGTTAATTAGCCATGGATGTGGCCAATTCAAGAAAATTCCCAAAGCATTTTTTTTACTGCAGAAAATGTGCTCTCATTCAAAATAACATTGTCATTAAGTTTAAGTGAATTCAGTTAGTAGTGTAGGGCCAGTAGGTCCTGTTCATGGTGGTGAATACCATAGCAAATCTATAGTTTATTGGGTAGGTATAGCCACAGTGGTTACATATTAACTAACATATAGAAGTAATGAAAATGTTCCAAGTTGCATAAACACTGCAGTGCTATATGCTGACTTCAACCATACATCAGCAATCTATTAGAAAGTATATTTGCATGCTTATACTGAAATCAAATGCAAAGCATTTGACATTTATTGATGACCTAGACATAGCAGGACATTTGATTAGCCAAAGAGCACATGCAGACTGTGGTACTACCAGAGAGCAACTGACTCAACAGAGACAAATGATTACAGCTGCACATACCTCTCTCTCCCACTCTTTCAAGCTGCTCTATTAGAAGGAGCTTAAAGGGTTAGTTCAGTCAATAATGAAAATTAGGCTGCGTTTCACTCACCCCCGAAGCATCCTAGGTGTATATGACTTTCTTCTTTCAGACGAATCCAGTCGGAGTTATATTAAAAATTGTCTTTGATCTTTCAAGCTCTATCGTTGTACTCAGCAGGTGTTGCAGTGCTTCGGTTCAAAAGACGTGAAAAATAAAAAGCACCCTTCCACAAAAAAAAGTGTCTCACACGGCTCCGGGGGGGGTGAACAAAGGCCTCCTGTAGCGAATCGATGCGTTTTTGTAAGAAAAATATCATATTCAAAATGTAATCACTTTAATCTAGCTTGCGCCAACAGTTGAACACAGAAGCAGTTCCGGGGGAATGACGTATGAGGTCAGCGCTGCACCTCCCGGAGCCGTGTGAGACACTTTTTTTTGTGGAAGGGTGCTTTTTATTTCACATCTTTTGAACCGAAGGAATGCAACACCCGCTGAGTACAACGATAGAGCTTGAAAGATCAAAGACAATTTTTAATATAACTCCGACTGGATTCGTCTGAAAGAAGAAAGTCATATACACCTAGGATGACTTGAGGGTGAGTAATTTATGGGCTAATTTTCCTTTTTGGGTGAACTAACCCTTTAAAAAACAGAAAAGTGCATCCAGGTCTGAAAGAAAAAACAACTGAGATTTTAGCCACAAAAGCCAACTTGTGCGTGCTCTTAGCTTGCTGACATGATTTGATTTAATTTCAGACTCATCTAGATAATGTAAATGCTTGTTTTGACAATGGACTTCAGACTCTGACAACATTTAGTTTACTCCTTGTAATATATGTGCTCAGAACAGGCTCTTCAGTACACACCCTTAGCTTATTCTGTAACATACCATGGGCATTTTTAAACTTTTGAATAAAAGAGAAATATAATAAAAATGACAAATTTTGTACAACTACACTCTAAAAAATGCTGGGTTAAAAAGGGACAAACCCAGCTATTGGGTTGTTTTGACCTAGCCGTTGGTAATTGTTTTGAACCCAACCGCTGGGTCAAAACAACCCAATAGCTGGGTTTGTCCCTTTTTAACCCAGCATTTTTTTTAGAGTGTATTAGTAAAGTCTCTCGTGTAAACAAGTTAATATGTGAACTCCTCTTTCTCTTTATAGGTTTTGTCCTTCAGTTCCGTCTCTGATGTTCACTCTCATTTTGAGAGCCTCACCTCAGCAATCAACAGTCCATCAGCTTCCTATATCCTCAGACTGGCCAACCGTCTCTACGGAGAGAAAACCTTCAGCTTCTTACCTGTGAGTTTATTCTGCCTTTAACAAAAAGACATTTGGAAGCTAAGCCTTAGACATATATTCTTTTCCATCAATTATTGTTTAACTTCACAATTTAGAGGTCTTTCGTGAGGTCTTTTTTGCTGATTGTTGTCATGTGGGCTGCAGGAGTATTTGGACTCCACTCTGAAGCTGTACCACGCGGACCTTCAGGCTGTGGACTTCATTGGAGCATCTGACGAGTCACGACAGCTCATTAACAAATGGGTGGAAGAGCAGACAGAGAGTGAGAAGATCAGTTCATAAACAGTTCTATTTCAGATTAATGAATCAGTTTGGACCGGTTGATAGAATATCTTTTTTAAAAGTACAGATGTGAAGTCAAAAACACAAACTCGTGTTTTTCAGATAAAATCAAAGACCTTATCAAGCCAGGAATGATGACCGGAATGACCCGACTAGCTCTGGTTAATGCCATCTATTTCAAAGGGAATTGGCTACAGAAATTTAATGCTCAAGACACTAAAGAAATGCCATTTAAAATGAACCAGGTCTGTTTGCAAAATATTATACAAATGCAGTGGTATGTCCTTACACTATGCGTACTAAATCATATCTACTTGATAGAGGGTCATACTCTTTTTCGTGTTCACTTTCCCATTGGTATGTGTATTTGTCTTCCATCAGAATGAGCGCCGGCCAGTGCAAATGATGTACCAGAAGAAAAAGTTCCCCTTAAACTATGTCTGTGACCACCGCTTGCAAGTGCTGGAGTTGCCATACGTAAAGGAGGAGCTCAGCATGTTGATCCTTCTTCCTGAGGAAAGTCAGGATGGCTCTGACCCTCTTCATAAGGTCGGCAAAAAGTTTTCGTACCGATCTGCTTGACTTGAAAATATTGTAATCTTGTGTATATTCAGAGACTCATGTGCATGTGTGTTTGACAGCTGGAGAGCGAGCTGACCCTTGATAAGCTGCATGAATGGACCAACAGAAACAATATGGACACCCACACAGAGATCATAGTCCACTTGCCAAAGTTCAAGCTGGAGGTTGAGAGCTCCTTAGCAGAAATATTGATGGGGATGGGGATGACCTCTGTGTTTCAGGGTCCAAAGGCTGATCTGACAGGCATGAGCAGTCAGGGTGGCCTCTTCCTTTCGGCAGTGGCCCACAAGGCCTTTGTGGATGTAAATGAAGAAGGCACAGAGGCAGCAGCCGCTACGGCAGCCATTGTGGCATTCTGTATGTTACGAGAGGAGCACTTCATGGCAGATCACCCCTTCTTGTTCTTCATCAGGCACAATCCCACCAACAGCATCCTCTTCTTCGGAAGATTCAGAGGCCCATCTTAAATATGTGATGTTTGTCTGTCTAACAACAAAATAAACAATAAATACTAGTATTTAGATGTTAATAATTCTCATTTTGTTTGTTTTTAAGAGCACCACAACAAAAATAATGTCTTGGATTTGGACTGAGATGAAAACACTAATTTAGAGTTCAAATTTAGCTGGAAAATTATGGTACAATTTTTGATAATGCTTTTGACTATCACAAGAATTATTTTGCAAATTTGCTAGCTAGGACAAAAAGTAAATCAGGATTCAGTAGTAGTCATTAGGCAGGCTGACATCTTTGTTTGCTAAAGAATAACATAACACAGCTGTTAACACTAAATCCACAGCGTATCCCATAATTCTTCATGTTCAGGAACTCACATGCCCAAAAATCATGTGATGCCGAGGATTGTGTAGCCAAGTTAAATTAATTAGATATTACATGTAGCCTAATTTGATAGTAAAATTAAAAGTGTTGCATATTGTATTGTTGCAAAGATTAATGTGTATTTCATAGAAACATTTCCAACTGCTTTTTATTATCAATTATAAGCACTACAATTAATCAATTATATAATCCGTTAGATAGGGTCTACTGAACAAACTTTTATAAGTGTATTGTGAAGTGCAGTGTTTTAAAAATCAAAATGTGTAAAAAATATAAATTGGGGGAAGGGGGTGTTAAAACCTTACTTGCGATTATACAACACTACAAATTTGTCCCATCACGTAAGCAAAAGTTCTACACACACACTTATCGTTTTGACGCCTACTTGAACATTTGGGCCAAACAACGGAAATACGTCAGTGTATTGTGAGTGGGTCAAACACAAAGGTCGCAAGTTTTAGGGCAGGCTGTGTATCTGTAGAATGCTAATCCTAGTCGATTTCGAACCACTAGGGGCGTTTTTCAACCAATTTACCCAATTTGCTCTAATGCCGAGTTCACACTGCACGATTTTAGCCCGATTTTTCACTGGCCGACAGGTTTTGCGAAATCGCCGACAAATGCCCGAAATCGGAGGCAAATCGGTGCTCGTTCACGCGAGTGACAATCACGTAGTGTGAAATATCAAAGACGCGATCTGAGGGAATCGCCGACATGCTAAATATCTGGAGCTGTCGCCGATTCACAACCATGCTGTGTGCAATGAGTTCTGACTGAAAAACACATCGGCGATGACCTACAGCCAATGAGAGACCAAGATACAGGGCAGAGGGAAGTTTGGGGAGGAGTTGTAGACCAGAATATCAGTATTTTAATAGCTATATGAACAATTATATCATACAGACACAAGCACAAACATTTGCTTGACCAACCACAACATCAGCATAACAGTTACTGCTAAATTGTTTACCTCCAACCCTCTTTGCAGAACACCCAATCCCTGCATCTCCCTCCTGCATAATCTGTTTTTCGTTTTCTCCTTGTAGCTGGAAATCAGCTCACAGACAATTTGCGGGCTATATATATATTTTTTTTTTATAATTACAGTCTTGCTCGAGAACTCCGGTCTGACGCACGCAGAATCTCACGTTATTTCCTTATCACTTCTCGCGTGTGTTTTGTTGTGAAACGTAGTTTGCGGACCAAGTAGATATAACTGCAGACTGGAGATCTCCAAAATGGGGCGGGGTCTCCTTGCACAAAGACTTTCACCATTGGCCCTGGCTCCAGCCAATTGTTATTGACATACATTTCAAAATAAAAATTTATAAATTAAACATTGTTTCTAGTTCATCTAAAATAAAATATGCTATATAAGTCAATATTCTCCGTGAGAGCAGAGCCCAAAGCTCGTGGCCAGTGGTGTTCGGACTGGAGTTTGAACCTCTGCTTCA